ATTTGTGTGTTGTGATGGTGTATAGTGAATTAATTAAAAAAAAAAAAAAAAAGAATAAGAGGCCTAAAGAGAGGTGGGGGCCTTTAAATTGTGAAGGAGGTCTGCCATCCGTGGAGGAGAGCCAGAAGCACAGATGACATAGGAAGAGCCTTGGACCATAGTGCCATTCCCAGAATGTTCTGCCAGCCCGAGCAGGAGTCAGGCCAAAGCCTTCTGCTTCTGGTCCTGTGGTAAGAGGCCTGCATCGGTAGTCTCGCCCTGCTCAGTCACTCGCCGGGGGCGGCCTCAGCACAAAGGCTGGGGCAGACACAGCAGGCAGCAGCTAGGGCCATCAGTCACGTCTCACCCAGGAGAGCTGAGAGCTGCTTTTCTACGGCCACCCACGCAATAGCCAGACGTGGTCTGCCAAGCCAGTCAATCCGGGGCGCCCTTGGGGGATGGCCCAGATGCAGCTGACACTGAGCACACCTTCCCGTTCACATTCATCCTCTAATATAGCACCAAGTGGGTCCGAGTGGTCCCCTTCAGAATCCCCACCTGCCTCAGAATCAGCCTAGGGACCTGGGACTGATGGTTGGGCCAATCCAGACACACTGAGAATCTCTGGGATTGGGCCCGAGGTTCTGCAGTTCCGGGCTTCTCAGGTGACTGTGACCTGCTCGAATCACTAGTCTTCTGTGAATCCTCTCTACAGCCATCTCCACTTTGCCAGTGAAGAAGCCAAAGCTCAGAGATCAGGGGCCTGGGGAACACAGCTTAAGGGGGCTGAGAATGGGGTCTTTCTGGAAAGTAAGAGTGTGTATTTTAGAAGGTAAGGATCCAGACCCTTCTACGCTAAGGAAACCATTTATATCTGGTGTATTCTGCCTGTCTCCTTCAAGTGGAAGGCCAGCCTACTACGCTTAATTGACAAAAAATGAGAAGTTATTTGCTGATGACAATGTATAGAGTAATACCTTTGTCTTGACTGACTTGCATGGTATTTGTGTTGGAAAAAGAAATGTAGGTGTAAAGACGTGATAAAAGGTAAATTAAAATAAAAATCAATGTTAAAAGGAGAAGGCCAGCCTCAGAAGGGCAGAGCCCTGGTCTGCTTTGCTCCCTGAGGTGACCCCAGCGCCCAGCAGTGCTAACCACACAGTCAGGGCCAATATTAGTGTTTGCTAAGGGGACGCGTTGCACACGTGCCAGTAGGACCCTATCCCTCACTCAGAGGACCGTGGGGAGAGTCCAATCCAGAGATCACTCCTAGTCACTCATTTTTATTTTAAGTTTTAGATGGAGGGAGGGGGTAGCAGGTGGTGTAGTAAGTAGTTAAGGCACTGGACTCCCACGTAGTTGGTCCCAGCTTCCTCATTTTCCAGGACCCCTAGCTGACAGTTCTGTAAGTAAACATGTCTTGATTTATCGTGTGTGTGTGTGTGACACTGCATTGCTGCTTTGAGTGTGGAGGGGGTAGATTGGGGGTGCAGCAACAGAGCTATAAACACATCTTAGGATATAATAATTCTAGGCTTCACTAATTACAAAATATGGTCACATCTTTTTTTAAAAAAGAATTATTTAATTTTATTTATCATTTTAAAATTCGCTACAGGACACATGCACTCATCAGAGGGTGAGAGATAGAGAGAAAGAGAAAGAGAGAGAAGGTAAGAAAGCAAGCCACCAGGTCCAGGACTCAAACTATGGTTGGCAGTGTGGGAATCTGGTGCCTTAACTACCACACTACCTGCTGGTCACGGTCATATACATTTTTAAAGTGCATTTTAAAATAAAGTACAAAAGCATATGGTGAAAAACAAATCTCCATCTCCCTCTCCCCAGTTCCTGAGACCTTGTAGAAGGCAACCATTGTCACCATTTTCTCGCCTATCCTTCTAGAGATCTTCTATCTCACCTCTTTTAGATTCTTTTTTTTTTTTATTAGAGAGAGATTTTTGCTATAGAATGCATGTGCTCACCAGAGACAGAAAGCAAGGAATCAACCCCTGGTGGGGGGGGGGGGGGGGGGGACGGCCACACAGCAATCTCTTCTCCATTTTCCTCTCGGGATTTTGGGCATGCACATGCATGCACCCAGCATGAATTTTAAGCTGCTCTGGGAGTTCAGCGACATAACCATTACACCATCTGCTGGTTCCCCCCTTAGTTTTTCACACACTTGTTGACCTACTACACAAACCGTTTTCTATTATTATTTTTTAATTTCCAGGAGAAGAATGTGCTCATCATAGATAGAGGGAGAAAGCACCCCCAATGACATATGGTCACTCTGCAGTCCCTTCTCCTCCATTTTTCGATCCTATTGGGATTTGGGGCTTACACATGTGCCTGGTGTTTTCTTCAAGTCGCTGGGTCTGGGATTCAAAATATTTGGTTGGCTGTGTGGGATCTGGCTCCCTTAACCACTAAGCCACGAAGTTGGCCCTACGCAAACCCTTTTGAACCCTGCTTTCACACTAAACAACGTAGTTTGAGCTGCCTCACTCTTTTTTCAAGGGTGCATTGTATCCCATCAGATAGAAGTCATGAAATTTTAGTACTCAGCTCAAGCTGGCTCAAGCTGCCATCCTACTGAATTTTCTGGAAGTCCGTCTTTCACCAGGTTCCTCTCCATTCTGAAGCAAAAGGCACATGTGGAGTCTCCACTTCTGATATCCTGCACATGAACACACGTCCGTGCACAGACGCAGACATGCACATGCACACACATGTGTACACATCCTCTCAGAACAAGGTTTAGTGGAGCACAGTTCTCCAGGAGCCTTGGACCAACCCAGTTCTCCCCCCTTTCTTGCTTATAGTTCTCAAGCGTAACCGTGGAATGTGCTGGGAATCCAACATCCTGAGACGGTGGAGAACTGGCCGAAACAGAGGTGCTAAAATTGAATGCCCATGGGATCCAAGCCCAGACACCCTGCAAGGGGGCACCTGTCTTACCAGCCAACTACTACAAATGATGATACCAAGACCCAAGAAACTAAGTAAAAACCTTGGCAAGTGGGGGCAGGTGTAATCAGACGGTGGAAAGAGAAAAGTCCAGATCATGGCCCAGGCACAGGTTGGAGTCTCCTCAGTGGACAAGGAGGGCACAGGAGGCTCCCTAAGGGGAGAGGTGCTGAAAGGAGAGTGAAGATACAATGCCCACTTCATTATTTTACCTGGACTCAGTTCTGGTCCTCACTACCCTACCACCAAATGTCAATCTCCAAGAATATAAAAAGTGATAAGTGTTGGCGGGGATGTGGTGAAAAGGGAACCCTCCTACACTGTTGGTGGGAATGTAAACTGGTTCAGCCACTGTGGAGAACAATATGGAGGTTCCTCAAAGATCTACAAATAGAACTACCATTTGATCCAGCAATCCCACTTCTGGATATTTACCCGAAAGACAGGAAAACGCTCAGTCAGAAAAGTGCTTGCACATCCATGTTTATTGCAGCATTATTCACAATTTTCAAGACATGGAACCAACCTAAATGTCCACAAACTGATGAATGGATTGGAAAAGTGTGGTATATATACTCTACGGAATACTACTCAGCCATAAAAAATAACAAGACCCTGGAATTTGATAGAAAGTGGTCAGATATGGAGGATCTATTGCTGAGTGAAGTAAGCCAAGCTATGAAAGAAAGATATTGTATGTATCCACTCAATATATACCGACTATCCGCACTCGATGGTAGAGAGCAAAAAATTGGAGGACATAAAAGCAGTGAAGGTACTTAATGAGAATAGGACAGTGTGGAATTGGGAAGGTGAAGAGAAGAGGATAGAGAAAGATAGCAAGAGAACAATGGAGAGGCAGGACGTTAGTGAGAAACCGATATGACTTATTAACTGTTGATGATGACAACTAGATTTCCTCTTGACTCTCCCACTTGGCTATGGAAAGGTGAAGGAGAGAACACTGACTTAGCACTATTGCCATCTTACATCATTTTGACTCTGTCTAAGCAATGATTTTCTACTTAAACCTAACAACTAGAATGTGATAGTGTACCCCCCCCCAAAAAAAAGGCATTGCAGACTGTGGTACTGTCATATAATAAGAAATATATGTGTCATCTCTGCCCCCAGTTCCCCAGCCAAGGAGTGCCTTAGGCAGAGGACCTAGATAAACCGAGTCCCAACTGCCCACAGTGGAAACTCTATACTACCTTCCCTCCCTTCCTGGTCTCACTTCCCTTTTCTCCTACCAGTATTTTCTAGAATCACCTCCCAAATAAACTACTAGCATTCAAAACTTTGCTTCACAGTCTACTTGAGGAAGCAGGTAAATCAACCTATGACAAACATTAAAAAAAAAAAAAAAAAACTTAGTGAATCATTAGATGATGAAAATGAAGACTAAAATATGAAACTATAAGATTTCTAGTGTGGGGGGAACCAGCAGTTAGCGTAATGGCTATTTCGCTGGACTCCCACGTAGTTGACCACGGTTCGCGTCTCAGACCCGGTGGCTTAAAACTCACACCAGGCGCGTGTGCGTGCGTGCCCAAGATCCCGAGAGGAGAATGGAGGAGAAGGGATTGCGGCATGACCATCCCCCCTGGGGAGGTGATTTCTCGCTTTCTGTCTCTATGTCTCTCTCTGTCTGTAGAGCGCACGCGCCCTATAGTGAAAAAAAACTTCTCCAAAAAAAATAATAATAATAAGATTTTTAGTGTGGGGACCAGCAGTTAGCATAATGGCTATGTTGCTGGACTCCCATGTAGCCAACCGAGATTTGAGTCCCGGACCTAGTGGCTTAAACTCAGACCAGGAGCGTGTGCGTGCATGCCCAAGATCCCAAGAGGAAAATGGAGGAGAAGGGATTGCGACATGGCCATAATCCCTGGGGGGGGTGATTTCTCACTCTCTGACTCTGTCTCTGTCTTCCTGGCGAGCACATGGACCCTATAGTAAAAATCTCTCAAAAAAAAAAAAAAAGATTTCTAGTGTGGGGGATGCTGACTCCATTAACTGAGATAAAATACTCTTTCTTCTAAGAAGAACGTGAATAGGAGAATGAGTGGGATTCAGAGAGAAGAGTCTAGAAATACCGAATGTTAGGTGCATAAAGGACTTGTTACCTCAAAATTTCCTGAGTAAAAGGGTAAGACTCTTATCTTTGGAAAAAAGTGAAGAGAAATTGAGCAGAAAAGGGACTACATACAAGAAGAAACCACCAGAAATGAACATCACCCCCTTCTAAAGGGTAACGACAGTGTCTTCTTTTGACCCAAGAGCATATAAAGCCTTCGCTGTCTCTTCCAGTCGACTTCTGTATTCGAGCTTCTCATAGTTGGAGGGACTCACTCCTTTAAAACCATGCAGAACTCCCCACCAGCAGCCGGCAATGGCAGCAGTGGAATCGCTGTCTCCACCATGGAAAAAGGCTCGGTGGGCCAGCTCCTTCCAGGAGTCTCCCGCAGCAAGGATGGCATCGTAGGCAATCATGGGGGCATCATGCCCACTGCTGCCACCCCAGCCAGAGTAGCTCAGGGAGGTGTAGAACTGATCCCGTTCCTTCACGTTGAAGGACTTGGGGAAGATGGGGGCTGATTTGCCCTCCAAGATCCCTCTGAGTTTTAGATACTTTTCCCATTGATTTTGGAAGTAGGACCTGCAGGAAGGAAGAGAATCTGTGGTTAGTTGAAAAAAATAAAGTCAAGAACCCCAAGAGAAAGCACCAGCATGACTGTGTGAACAGAGAAAATTCCAGGATAATATTGACATCTGGCATTAATGTCATAAACTACATAAAAAATAAAAATGGCCTTTAAGTGCCATTCATTCATCACACTTTAAAAAAATTTTTTTTTCCAGATAGCATGTATTGATTGCTGAAGAGACAGAGACAGAGATAGAGAAAGTACCCCTTATGGGGAGTGGTTATGCTGCAATTTTATCTCCTCCATTTCAACCCGCTGTCAGGACTTTGGGCATGTATGTTCATGTGCCCGGTGTGTTTTTCAAGCTGTCAAGTCTGGGACTTGAACTGCACAGTCAGCCATGTGGGATCCAGACTTTAACCACCATGCCACAGGCTGCCCTATTCAGTCCATTTTTGCTGAGGATTTATAAACAAGGCATTGATCTTGTTGCCGAATAAAGACGATAAAGAGCAGGCAATGGAGGTTTGTCTCTTCTTGATTTGGGAGTAATGTCAAGTGTCACCTTTCAAGAGGAAATTTTAGGACACCATGAACACGAGTGACTTCAGCAAAAAGCCTCTGAACTTTCTGATTCTAAGAAAGAGAATGTGAGGTGAACTCACAAAAAAAGGAAGATGTGGCCTTTCCACTTACTAGTGAGTGAGTGGAAAAATCTATCTGGCACTCTAACCGGACACTTCAAAATACTTGTGCGTCAAGAAAACGCTACAAGAAAAGTTCCAGGGAAGGAGGAAATAAGCATAAAAGTTATTCTCAATATAGAATAACCAGAAAACAGTGGAAAGCTGGAACACAGAACAGGATCCCTACATAAGGAGGAGCTGCCGTACTCATGGGGGCATCTGCATGGCCACTTCGGGGCAACCAGTGCTGGAAGGGAACTTAATCCTTAGCAGGTGGGTGGGTGGCGAGCTCCATGGAGGCTGCTGTGACCTTGGAGACAGGCGTACATGTGTGTGCATGTGCACACATACATCCAGCCACAGTCCAGCAGAGACATGCACTTACACACTCACCAGTGTTGAAGGTTCTCCTCCACGAAGTAGCCTGACTGTTCAATGTACTTTTTAGCTTCTGGAAGCACCTCCATAAGTCCTTTTCCCCACTGCTCGGGTGGCTTGCCATTCACAGCATAGGTCGTAAAAAGGGCAGACGCCAGGGCCCCCAGGTAGCCTGTTGGGTGGTGGTGGGTCATTCGACCACTCTCGATGCTCACTTGGATCAGCGTGTCCAGCTGGCTGTGGTGAGGGAACCTGAGACCGATGCACATGGCCCGCATGGCAGCCCCACAGCCGCCCTCATGGTTGTTGAAGGGAATTCTCCAGCCATTGACCTTGTCTGGCTCCAGGAGCATGGCGTTCTGCACCGAGGCACCACCTGGGGAAGAATGAGACAGGGCAGGGGTCAGCATAACCAAAGCAAAGGCCTCAGTGGGAAGACAGAACGAAACTCTGTCTCCAACCTCCTTTCCTGGAAAGAGAAAGCCAGAAAAACATGATGACGAATGCCCCCCCAACCCCAAACCCAACCCACCAAGCACCTGCCTTTATACATAGCCCTTAGCATAACCAGATTGGTCACAGGAGAAGCAGATTCATACAGAGAGCTTGGAATCTTCACCAGTTATTACCAAGACATCACAACTGCTCAAAAATTAGGTATATTGACCATCAGATGGCATAATGGTAATGTTGTTGAACTCCCAAATATTCAACTGCAGTTCAAGTCCCAGACTCAGTGGCTAAAACTCACGCTGGGCATGCTTGTGTGTGTGTATGCCCCAAATCCTGGGAGGAGACTGGAGAAGGAGGGATCGCAGTGTGGCCATCCCCCTAGGGGGGGGAGGTGATTTTTCATTTTTTTTCTCTCTCTCTGGCAACCACATGTGCACTACAGCAAAAAGTCTCTCTTTTAAAAAAAGGAGGTATATAACATTGCAATTCTCTTTTTTTTAAATGAAGTCTCAGAGCTTAAGACATTTGCTCAAAATCACCCAATCAGCTAGTCAGCAGCCTGGTAAAATTCACGTGAATCGAGCCCAACCTCTTAGTGCATCCAATAAGAACCTGATGGCTGTAGTAAGTGAACATCTGAAAGAGGCCACAAGTTCTAGAATGAAGCACTGGATCCAGATGAGGAAGTGTTTTAGAGGAACCAGGTACCCTGGGTGAGTCACTGAACCCCTGGACTTTGGCTGTCCCCTTCATAACAGCGATGTCAGCAGCCTTGTCCAACTGACCTGCCATACGAAGGAGCTGTGAATATTCACGGGAGCCAAGCAATGGCAGCAAATACCATGGAGTACAGTGTTCTGTCCCCACGCTGGTCAGTTTGCTCACAGCAAGGATGATGGATGGCACCAGTAGATGAAGAAAACATTCCACCTGGCCAAACTGATGAGGTATCAGAGGCTGCGATGACAGAGATTGGCTCCTAGGGTCATCACTGGGGTCACCAGAGGCCCTTGGTATGGCAGTGGGGAGTTTTTCACCAGGAAGTGTTACAGGCTGAACTGTGCCCCCACCACCTCCCGATTCATTGTGACAGTACCTCAATCTGTAGACAAGGCCTTAGAGATGTGACTACGTTAACATGCAGCTGTTAGAGTGGGCCAGATTCCAATCTGCCTGGCATCTTTAGAAGAAGACAAATGTGGACAGAGAGAGGCACTGGGGAGGCACTCACTCAAGAGGAGAGACAACGAGAACATGGTGAGAAGGCGGCCTTCTGCAAGCCAAGAGGAGAGGCCTCAGAAGAAACAAAACCTGCAGAGACCTTGATGTGGACTTGTAGCCTCCAGAACTATGAGGAAATAGATTTCTGTAGTTTAAGCCAGTCAGCCTGTGGCATTTTGTTAAGGGGCCTCTCACAGCCAAAATAGGAGAAGGTCAGATGGGCTGGAGGGGAGAGAAAACCACCTGGAGGCCTAAGTGTTCACAAAGGGTTCCCAAAGTGGGCAAGAGCCACTTGTGAGCTGACCTGGGGCCAGAAACAGAGTCTTCATAAGACCCTTTCATTCTCCTTTAAATAGAAAAGGAAATCATGTGATTTATGGAAACTCAGGAAATACAAATAAATAAAAAGAAAATGAAAAACTAGAAATCCGAGGGGACATCAAAGTGTGTGGAAAACTAAAATTAAAAGTACAAATTTGGGTACAAGAATTTTTGAGATCTAGGCATAGTTTTTTCATAACACACATTTTCCACGAATATTTTGAAGACCCCCCCGCAGACTCCCACCACCCAGAGGGAATTACTGCCACGCATCACTTCACAACGAAGGCACACGCTGAGAAGTGCATCATTAGGCAATTATGTCACTGTGTGAACATGGTAGAGTATATTTACACAAACGCAGGTGACATAGCCTACTACACACCCAGGTTATATGGTATGGCCTATAAGCTTCTTAGGGGACCGCCATCATAGACGTGGTTCGTCGTTGACAGAAACGTCATTACGTGGCGTACGAGTGCATGACATCATTTTGCAGCTTTCTCTAGGCCTCTAACGCAGAGATGCACAGCCACACTTCCAAGGACAGGGAGTTCATAACAGACGTACTGTTTGGGAACCTATTTTATTTTCACTTCATATATAATAATGCCTTGAGGTATGAGTAAATATTCATCTGCATCATTTTATGTGTTTATTTTACTAAAATTATTTCTGTCAAATCATAATTGTATAACATTTATGGTGTGATGATTTGAGATACACATGTACACAAATTAGAATGATTAAATCAAGCTAACACATCTAGCGCTTCAATTACTTAGCACTTTTTGTGATGAGAGATTTAGGATTTATTCTTGGTTGTTTTGAAATATACGGTATTAGGACCAGCAGGTGGCATAGGTTAAGGTGCTGGACACTCCCAAATGGCTGACCACAGTTCGAGTCCTGTGTCTGGTGACTTGCTTTCTCACTGTCCCTCTCTCTCTGGTCAAATTAAAATAAATGAATGAATAAATAAAATATAATTAAATAATACTTTTTTTAAAAAAAAGAAAAAATATACAGTATTATTAGTCACCTTGCATCATTTTAAATGACTGCAAATGTGTCCCCATAATTAAGCAGATTACAGGGTATTTAAATTGTTTCCATCTGTACCACAACTACCAACACTACTGGCTCTTTGATATTTAAATCGCTGAATGATCTCCTTGGGCCTGTTTTATTGTCTACCCTTCCTGCACCTGCCACGGGTTAGCTCACCTGGCTGCCGGCCACCCATGTCTTCCATGCAGTCTTGGTAATGCTTCGCAAGGAGGGAATACAGTCGGGCCAAGTTTGGGGCTGGGCCAGCTTCCACCAGGGCTTCTGCAGTGGCCAGGTGCATCACGGTGTCATCACTCACTCTCCACCTTCCCACATCGATGGCGTCCAACCCGCCCAGCTGGGCCAGCTGCTTGTGTATCTTCTCCCCGTCCCGCAGGAACTCCCACTTCGCATTGAAGTACCCCAAGGCGTCTCCAGCTGCACTCAGCACCATGGCGGCCACATACCTCTCCACCAATCCTCCACACATGCTGGGCTATGCAGAGGGTGGCTGGGGGGGGACAAGGAAGACACATGAAGGAGCACAGGGAGAATCGGAATTAATAAGCCCTGTTGTTTTTTTTTGGAAAGGTTTTTGCTATAGGGCACATGCACTCACCAGAGAGACAGAGAGTGACAGAGAAATAGAAAGCGAGAAATCATCCCCCAGGGGGAATGGCCACACCACAATCCCTTCTCCTCCATTCTCCTCTCAGGATCTTTGGCACACATGTGCCCGGCGTGAGTATAAACCACCAGGTCCAGGACTTGAACCGCAGTCGACTACATGGGAGTTTAGCAACATAGCCATTACGCTAACTGCTGGTCCCAATAAGCCCTATCTTCTTATAGAGCACTCACTACTTGCTGGCATTGCATTAAGTGAATCTCGTTTATCCTCATAACTGCTCTGTGAGCCATGTATTATTAGGGCATTTTACACATTAGCATGAGGATCATGGAGATAACACAGTATCCGAAGTGTTGACTTGTCACAGGCCACAGAGCTGTAAATGGCAGGGCTAGGATACCAACTTAGGTTCAACTGACTCCCAAACCCATGATTTAACTTTACCTCTTAGAGAGTGGCAAGCCCATCACATTCTGCAAATCAAACCAAGCTCATCATTGCCTCTCCTGAGCTGAGATTTCTTGGAAGTGCAATGCTTTGCCTCAGTAACGATACTTTCTACTGGTATCACCCCCGTACAATTCATATTCATCGTGCCTCCACATTCACTGTCTCATGAGCAGGAAGAGACTGTCGCATGCATTTGCATATAAAACTGAGGCTTAGAGAAGCGAAATTCACACAACCAGAGCGTAGGCAATGGGATCTCGATTTGATTCCAGCCGGGCGAGGCTGCTTGGGACTACACTGTCTCAGCTGGGACCTACGTCCCTAGGGCAACCTCTTGGTACCCCAACCTCTCCATCTGTGAAGTGGTAATGAGAAAAACAGTAACAACCTCCCTGGCTTGTTGCGAGGAGTCAATGAATGAATGTTCATAAAGCACTTAGGATGGTGCTTGTCACATAGAAAGCACTAATTTTTTTTTTTTTTTTTTTAGAAATGTTACATTACTCAGGCTGACCCTGAACTTGCCATCCAACTCTCTCAGCCTCCGGAGTGGCTGAGATTTACAGCCACACACTACTGCACCCAACTTCAAGTACATTTTATTTCTTTTAGTATATGAATTTTTTAAATTAACAAATCAATTTATTTTTAAAATTTGCTATAGGGCATGTGTGCTCGCTGGAGAGAACAGAGAGGGAAAATAAGGAAGCACCTTGATGGAGGACGGTCATGCCCCGTCCCTTCTCCGTCTCTCCTTTCAGGATCGTGGACACAAACACATACTCATTTCATGTGTTTTTCAAGCCACAGGGTCTAGGACTCGCACTGCACAGGCTGCCACGTGAGATTCAGCGGCCTTAACAACCACACCACTGGCTGACCCAAAGTGCGCTGTTTTTGATATTATTTTTATTATGCGTACACAACCAGAGAAAAAGGCTTTACTATTATTGAACTAGAATACTCCCCCCCCCATAGCCTTCCCTTCCACAGCAATATTTAAATTTTTTCTTCTAAATAACTGACTTCTAGAGTATTAGCATCTCAGCTAAAAGAGCCACCATGGATTAAGTCCCTGGGAAGGTGTGGCCTCCCCTGTAGGTCTATTTTTTAAAAGCCCTTCAACAGCCAGTTCCCCAGGGAGCCCTAATTCCCGTGCCCTAAAAGCCCTCCTCTGCCTTTTCTAGCCATCACCCCATATAGGACGCACCTTCACCTTCGTCAGGGCCGGTTGACTGGCTCGAGCAACTCCCCACCCCACCTCCTCCCCAAGATGCCGTTCCTTGGCTCAGCTTAAACCCTAGCACTCGGGTCAGTTCAAGTCCTGGCTTTCGCTGCGCTGCTGTGGGCGGGTGAAGGCAGCCCTGGGGCAGGAAGGAGGAAATGAAGCGGACCGATTGAGCCTCCCACGACCCAGTTACCGATCGTGCTGCGCTTCCCCGTCACATAAATGGCGGAAACGTTACTGACACATGTTATTTATAAATGAAGCCTATGAACTGGAGTTGTGGACGGCTGGGCGGGGCTCTCCCCAGAACTGGCTGCGTGATCCACCCCGCAGCTCGAGTTTCACTCTGTAAACTGGAGTGCAGAAGGGGGACCGGGCTTGGCTGGCTCGGAGGACTCCCTTGCACCCACTCCTGTCCCCTCCCTCTCAGTGGCCTTGGCGTCCCCTCTGTAAGTCCTCTGGGCTCCACTCCCACGCGTGATGGGGGAAGATGACCAGCATCTTGCTCCGTGAGGAGCTCCTGGCTTTCTGACCGACAGAGCTAGCCTCGGGGGTCCCTTCCACTCCGGAACTTTCTCCGACCCGAATTCTACGTTCGACACTAAGGTCTGGACAGCAGCTTCTGAACAGTTCTCTGCTTTGCGGCGGCCTGGGGGTGTCAATATACAAAGACGCACGACTTGCAAAGGGACCCCCCCCCTCGCCGGAAAGTCCCGACGCGCTCCACTTTCAGGGTGCAGCGGGGCGGGATGTCTAGCCACTCCTGGGAGGAGCGGACCGGGGCAGGGGTACCTGGTCGCCGCAAGGAGGAGCTCGCGCAGGACGCTGGGGGCCCGCTGTGCCGGGATTGCCCACTGCATGCTGAGCAGAACCGCGGGCGCACTTCCCCACGCTGGCGCGGTCCAATCGCGGGGCCGGGGAGCGGTGTCCCCGCCCGCCGCGTCCTTCTGTGCCCAGCTTGGCGGGCCGACTCACGTCCCCGGCAGGGAAAGGCTCTGGGACAATCCCCGGGGGGCGGGATTCG